AAATAATAAAAATAAATCTACAGATGGAATCAGGAACAAGAACATCCTTGAGGCCAAAAATTCAAGAAATTGAGAGTTTCGGAAGTCTTGGGATTACTGCTACACTGCTGAAGTACTAGGAAGTCTTATTTAAACTAAATCTGATCCACTTTTCCAGCTTGCAGTATACTCCTGCTAAATTACTTCCAGGCAAATGAAGGTCACAACAGCTTTCAAGTTGTTGCTGAAAAATGTGTTAAATATGCATCCTGCTCCTGCTCAACTCAACCTTTTTCACATGCCCTTTTCTAGCTCAGCCAATGCTCACTCTTCCCTGCTCCCTCATCTCTTCCCGCGTAGCCACTCTCTTCCCAACTGTCACGATTTTATCACAAGTGTTGTAAAATCTGCTTCTTTTTTTCTTTTTCTCCCTCCTCCTTCAGCTGCCAACACTTGGKGTCCCCTGACTTCCCATTTCTGCAAATTGGAGGTGGGGCTGATTTTGCAGAGTTAGCGGGACTGAGACAAGAGCAAAGGCTGCATCAAAGTACTGGGGTCCCCATCCCACACTGTGGGGACAGGACAAATGGCACCACTGCTGATTTACTAAGTGAACATACAGAGAACTGGTAATTCAAAAGGGTTTTTTTTCCTATTTTCTAAAATATTGAAGTACAAAGACACCCTGTCACTGCAAACTTTCCCAACAGTTTCTCATTTTACAATAGAATTTTCTACTATTGAATTGCTTCTATTCCTCCTCTCCTCCCAARCTCTCTGTAGCCCAAAACCTGGTTGAAAGGACCTTTTCCCCTTCTCATTATTATTAGTCATATCATTTCATATTGAAATCTATTTTATTGGGAAACAGGAAAGCAAACTTGGAATGAAACGGAAGGGCAATGAAGAAGCACAATCCTGTAAAAGCTTCATCTTGGACAGAACGTGGACTGGTTAATAAATAACACTCAGAAAGCTGAGAAATCTGAAGAAATAAGTGACAGAAAGTTTAGCAGTCCATCAAATCAGTGGATTTAAGCAGCTTTCCACAGCAATCAGGGAAACGGGAAAGAACAATCCTACCCCATTCATCTAGCCCCCAAAGGCCAAAGCACATGTGTCCATCAGGCCCCTCATTTCTGGCTATAAAACTTYGCCCAGATAAAACCCGGGAAGTGACCTTCATACTTACTGCTGCCCTACAAACCCCTGCTCCTCTCCGGCTGAATCCCATTTAGTTCTGACTCACTGCCTTATTTACCTCGCTGATCACAATAAGCTTTCAAAGGCATTACCAAGGCTGGCATTGGTGTCGCTAAGCAGAGCTCGGTGACTAACCTGAATGACAAAGAGGTGGCCTGGAAAAAAAATAAAATAGAAACAAAACCCGCATGTATGCGACTCCAGGAGTGCAACTTATCCAACAGAGTGGGTTTCAAGCAGCGTCAGGCCAACTTATTTAAGATGTGTTGTAGGCAGCCTATAGAACAAAACGCTGGATTACTCTAGAAATATTACCTAACATACATAAAACATGAAACTGTCCAAAAAAGAAAAAGGGGGGAAGAGAAAGTGAGTAGGATAAAAAACAACAGCAACAAGTGAAGTTGTTGTTGCTGTTCTGTGGTGTTTTGGAGAGTGGCAGTGACCTCTGAGGAGGCTGCACGTGTCCGGCCGTGGGTCCTGCTGGCCCAGGAGCCCTCCGGGTGTTAGGGGTGCCTGGAACACTGCGGGCACCTGCAGGGTTTGCTCTACAACTCTCTGCATGCAGCTGGAAAAGGCAGCATGGGGCTCCAGAAACTGCTGCCCAAGGAGCTAGAGCAGCAGGAGGCAAATTTTTACCTCTGGTTTAAGTTACCAAAACCTCCTCTCCCTCTCTCTACTCGCCAGTTCCCAAGGCTGGGGTAGGAATTATGGAGCACAGCACCTGCATCACTCAAAAACATTTTTCCAAATATAAGTAAATGCAAGAAGATGACTCTGTGGAAAACRTATAGAAAAGGGTAGAGAATCACTAGTGGTGGGCTGAAATGGATATTTCGTGGTTTGTCCAGCAAGGTAGCTCAGCTAGGAACCCCACAGCAGTACCTGTGCCACTGCATACTTCAGACTAGCTATTCAGCAACTATTGATATTATCAATGACAGACTACAGAAGCACAAGAACAGTGGGCTGAAAAAAAGTCCTAACACTGAAGCTTCAATTATTAGCGTATAAAATCAAGCACAAGAATAATAAATGTCAGAGAAGGATATGATTTCCGGGCAGACAAGTACAAAGAGGTTGAGGTCCACTAAAGAGAAACATCTCTGTCCTCAAAAACAATTACAGCTTACCTACATTGCAGAACTCAAAACCTTTCGAAAAGCCCATCCCACACACAGGTATTTGAACCACCTCTAAGCCAAAGTTGTGTGAGAAGAAGTTTATATTGCTGTGATATGGACAGCGAGAAAATTCTCCTCAATTCAAAGAAAAATCAACCTCGTTTCCCCTTCTGCCCTCTCTCCCATGCCTACAAAGGGTCCCYGAGGGCACTTCCCGCCGTATTAGGGGGGCCGCCACTCACGGCTCTTTGGGGATGAGGCCGCTCAGCTCTGCGGCGGCGGCTCCCAGCCCCAATCAAACCTGTTAATGAGATGCCCTGTGGTACAAATGCAAGACATTCCAGGGCACCRTCATCATTTATAAAAGCAGAGTCAGAGGGAGGAACATTTAGTACGGTACAGCAGCCCGATCCTCAGAAATTAATTATCTTTCAGAGAAAAATCAATATCAAGTATCTTAGCGCTCATGTGCACATTGTTCTGGAGTTACTTCCTATAGTTTTGCTAATAATAAAATGAATTAAAAGTAGAAATAAAGCATGCTGTCCATTAGCAGATCGTTACAGAAAACACTTTTGTAGCTTGGCCTCTGCAGCAATGTCTTGCTTTATCAGACCTTTGCTCATGGCTTCTTGTTTTTCAAAAYCCAATATCGGACACCATCTTTTAAAAAATTTCATGCCTCACAATCCACACATTTAAGAAAACTCATCAGGAGCAGGGGCAAGCAATAAAGGATGTGGAAGGAAGGAAGGAAGGAAAGAGGAAGGAACCTGCTGCAAAGCAAGAGAAATACTGCAGTGCAACCTACTTAGTTCATTAAAATAAATGCAAGGGAAAGCCATCAACTGTGAAAAACAGACCAGTAAAAAGGTACAGAGAAAGGTAGAGAGACACAGAACCAAAAGGTAAAACCTTTGTCCTTCAGTCCAATTATGCTAAACAAAACCCAGGGCACTCAGGAGACACAGGAGGCTTCCTAGCTATGTAGCGGTACTCAAGCATGCAACTACAAGCAAATATTTTCATGGGTTCATTGGTATCAAAAGCAAACCTTCCCCCCTGGCATGTGCTAATAAACCATGTCAAATCCACTCCACTCACATTTCAAATAAAACTGTTATTAAGATATTTTCCCCAAAAAATGACAACTGCATCTGTTTGCAAAAAGTGAGCAATTCAGCACTGAATTACGGAGTCTGTAGCTCCTTCAGCATGTTCTACTTTGCTAGACACTTCTACTTTCCCTAACACATCCACAAATAGCTTGTTGAACCAACACAACGTTTATAAGGTAGTTCTGTAAAATAATGTTCTAACACTATTATAAAAGCAATTTATTCATAAGCMTCAGTGTTAATCAGAGAAAAGCCATAATCACCCAGCATTATTCATCCCAGACAGACTGAAAAAAGTCCCAAGTATTAACTGTGCAAAAAGCACACAAACAGGTCGACCCTCCACTCTGCATTCTTAACAGAGCTGCTAGCTTCAGTTTTCAAGTCTGTTAGTTTATTTAAGATTGATACCCACACTATCAAGGATGTGCTTTCAAAAGCGCTTCCTCTTCTGCTTCAGCCCTAATCAAAGGCCAGATTGTAAAGGGTTCCCATTCCACCGGTCCATCTATGTTTTGTGAAATTTAAATCAAATCAGAAATTCTTTGGTTTCCAAACATTGGGGATGGCACTGGTTAAAGAAAAAACAAGCACTACTTGCATTTTTATTAGCACTACTTGATCACTGAAGTCAAAGAGCTGTTTACCTTTGATTCACAAGTATGAAAGCAAATATTTGCAAGTTAGTTACCTCAGCTGTCAAGATCTGTTTACTTTAATTGTCAATACAGAGTAGCCGATAAGGATACAGAAAGACAACAAACAACACTGTTTTCTCTATAAACAACATAAATTAATAGCATGCCTATAATGAGCATATGTTCAATATCTGAGAACGAAGTTACTGTGCTAGGAAAACAGAGGAACTACCAATGCTACGGAAATAAATACAAATCTCCTCTTCCAAATATTTAATACAGCTCTACTTCCAGACAACTGGTGAGTCACACCAGCATCTTCCTAATCCATCTCAGAAGGATTTCAAACATTGAGTCACGCTATCATCAGCTTTGTGCTATGCCATGAGCTCGGACCAACGCGCTCGGYTCCTGCCCAGTAACTGAGGAACCACAACGGAAGCACGGAGGACAAAACCCCACTGGACACAGGGAGCTTGCCGAGTCACCCGGTTATCTCCAAGCCCTGCTGTGAAATAGGTCACTTTCTCAGGTCTCTGTGCTTAGAAGGTTTATCCACAGCGACCTGTGTTTTTCCCACTACACAAGCAGTAGTATTTGTGTGAAATGAAACCCAAAAGCAGTATTAGGAGGTCATAAAGGACTATCCGTTTGACAGTAACCTCAAAACATCCAGCAAAGGAGGGAAGATGAGGGCAAACTATCTTTTCGCTGCCCTTTCAAGAGCTTTTACTTATAAAATCGTTGAAAGATTTATTGCTTCAAGTCCACAGAGCAACACAAATCCAAAAGTGAACTCACACAATCTTTGATACTCCATGTAAAAATAAGCCAACAAAAAATATCTCTTCTTTATAACGATAAAAAGCTATTAGTTAGGGTAGTACCTTGCATCTCTGGGCAGAAATAATATCAGACAATAAGTTCATATATCCTACCTTCTTGAACTGCCTGAAAGGGGTTGTTGCCATCCACAAAGGTCACAGAACACGTGATTTTCTCCGTCTGTAGGATTTCATCATTCTGGTTGAGATCAGCAACTGCCATTCGAAAAACTTCCTCATCCTTTTTGGCAGACTCATCAAAAATCGCCCCTGGGGAAACAGACAAAACACAAAAAAGCTCAAATCATACTGCATCCTTCACCCAGCATTACCCCACAGCAATAACTATAAGGATTAAACACGTATTTTATGTTATAACCTCATCCCTTAGCTCATTCCTGAAGAGCAGTTCTCTCAACACAGATCACTGAAAGCCAACTCACAGTATACAGAATTTCTATGTTACAATTTAGGACTAAAAGTGAAGAGAAGCATCATTTCCAACTAGAAACTCTGGGGAAATCTAGGTAGGCATAAAATAAACTGTGTTGAAATGTGTCCAAGAAACAAGAACTAATTACCTTTGCAAAGGTGCCATTTAATACACCGAATGACCACAACTGGCTAGAATATCTGTTCATCATCTTGTCCAGTGGCAATTAAAAAATGGAAGGTTCAAACAAGATGAGAAAAAGCAGAAAATAGCAGCAATACTAGGAAAATGAGTTAAAAATTGACAGCCTCCACCAGAAGACAGGGTAGTGGCTGATACAAGCTCTTTTGGTTCTCCTTTCTATTAGATTTTTGAAATGACCGCACAAGCAAAACATCTGACTAAATTAAGTATAATCAGTTAATTAAAAGCATTTCTCACTTTAAAAATCAGACAGAAAGCGACTCCTCTGCGTTTCCTCCAAAACATTCAASCTGAGCATGGTAAACACGAGACCATTAAACTCGGGAGGAGCTGGCAAGAGTAAAGGCTCCTCAGGTGCCTGCAATGATCCCACAGCTGCTCCCTCAGCTGCACTGGATCAGGACTCCACAGCCAACCAGAAAAGTTTAGTTTTTCCCTCTCTTTAAACTATAATGTGTACTCCTAGCTTTACCGATTTCCCGTCATTTTCCATTTGTTTCCCGCATGGAGTGTTAAAGTCTTCATGCAGGAGGTCAAGTCCTCAAGTCACAATGTTAGGGAGAAAATCATATTGTTGCTGCCCAAAATGAAGGCTATGAAGCCTTGCAGGAACCTTTGAAAATTTCTTTTCTAGTAAGAGTATTAAACAGATTGACAGGATACTTAATAAGTAAATAAAATGGGTTTTGAAAACTATTTTTAATCATTATGAAACTTACTCAGTTTTCAGGTTTATTCTTCCTTGAGTGTCTGTTGTCAATAGTAAACGAAAGCAAGGCAGGCATGTGTCGTGAGGCAGCCAAATAGCATAAAAAAGATGCTAATACTGATCATTTAAGCTAAATACCAACTAGTGCAGAAAAAAAAAAAGTAGTAACACCTTTATAGACATTAAAGTAGATTCAACAGAGGAAAACTTTGTATACATTATTTATATTTTCTCTCGTCTGACCTCCACCGCTCATCCCCCTGCCAGCATCACTCATCCCGCCTGAGCGTCATCTCTTCCTACAACCTGACCGCACTGACTGGAGCCTTTTCCCTCCTGAAGCTGCTGCCATCTGGAACAGCTGCTCTTTACCTCTCCACCTCATTCACCTGTCAGCTCCGCGCACGTCTCGCCTGAGATCATTCCTTTTCTTCCTTGCCTCCATCTCTGCTGCCCTTGTTTTCTTTCGTGCCATAAAGCCAAGCCCCATATGGCTGATAAGACACTTGGTAAGCAAGATGCCACCAGCTATATCTTCTCCATGAAAAAGATTATTTTTGAATCCAGGTAGCATTTAAATGTGCAAAATAACATTTTCCAGTGCAACATCTTAAAAATGTATCCTTTTTTCTTTCTTTTTTTCCATCTCATGAAACAGCTCTTTTCAAGGCCAAGACACACGGGCCTGCATTTTGGGGGCACCTGCTACTCGCTGCATTTAAGGATTGATCTATCAGACACCATTTTCCAAATATCTTCTCCAACTATTACTGCACTTGACACTTGAAATGAGACACCTTTCAGAAATGACATGTTACTCATGTTCTAGTCCAAGAATACCCCCCCAGGTAAAATAAGCCCAGGTATAAATGAATTACAAAGAAGTTGCAACCATCACTCCTGCCTCGGCTTCCTAGCAGGGACTGCCCCGTCTTCTCTCAGAACTTGGGGCTCTGTCCATTGGAGGACCCCACTGAGGCTCTGCAAACGAGCCCCACGACGCGTACGGCCCCGTTGCTGCGCACAGCGGCTTCCACCTTCCGCACCCAAGCGCAGGGAGACGGGAAAGGAGTTCCCAGGTGACTTGGAAATTGGCTTTCACGTCTGTTGTTCACTGAAATCGGAATGCTCAAGAAGTACGCGAATCATTCTGAAATTACTCCTATTCTTTCATGAACGTTGTTGGGTCCAAGTGTTTTAGGAGTCCTTTTTTAGGAGTCGTCTTACTAGCAGAGGGGAACTTTCCAAAGCAAAAAGGGCCTATCACATTGCTTTTCCAGCTCGTTATAAATGCAAGCCTAACCTACTTTCCTTTCAGTTTTAATACTTGTCCTTGTGCAGGCCTGCAATCACACTCAAGTTTAGAGGGTTATTCTTGCAAGCTTTCCCTTTATCCATGACAAACAAACAAAGGTATGACTGCTTGGACAGCAGGAACTAAATCCTTTCACGTTTCCGCTCTCAAAGCTACAAAACAAGAGAACTGGCGTGACCCTTACAAATTATTCCTCCCCATAGTGCATCAATCTCACTATCTAAAAGATTTTGCAATGCTACTTTCGGCAAAAGGGAGGAACAAAAGTGTTCACTTAGCGAACACTTAGGAACTTGGTGTTCATTCAAATTAGATGGTGTTTGTTTTTCTTCTGCTGCCACAGCCCTGAAAAGGCCTCCTGCTACTCATGTCATTTCTAACTACACTCCAGGAGTATTCCCGGTATTGCATCCGCAGCCAACATGCTGACATGGCAACTGCTTTGCACCATTTTCCCCCTCGTTTTATTATCAYGTCATTACTTGCAGCTTTATTTCAGAATCCGGATGAGGATAGCACAAATGTAATTCTCTGCTGGCTTTTTAAAAGCCCTCTGCACATCAATAATGTCCTGGAAGTCAGTAGAAAGCTCGGTGYGTTTAACTACCTCACTCTCACTCAACAATATCACCAGAAGCCTGTCAATTTAAATGAATATATGCATGTTCAATAAGTTCCCTGAGTAGCAATGACATCATTAGATAGACTCATCAAAGATCACTTGTCATATTGACCTACACTTAATAAAAATATAATCCACATTATATGTCATCAGCTATTTCTAGACTCATTTGCACTGCCTACCAGAATCAACCCMGAAAACGGACGTAAATGAGTCTTGACTCTATGGTTGAAATGTGAAGAGATTTAACCAACGATCACATTTCGATTGACTAAGGAAGGAACAAGTCCACTGTCTGCACCTTGTAACATCACACACATACATCCTGCCAACAGCCATATACCAAGTGGCCAAAAATTTAGCACTTCACACCTCTAGGAAGGTCTGGAGAGAAAAGGAAGACAAAAGCAAACCTTGAAACACACACTATCTTCTCAAACAACTGCTTGATGGTCTAACAGCTGCTGCTTCTTGAAAATTCTTTTTCCTCAATAACACTTTGCCACTTGGTTCCAGTGGCTGAACCCAAATACACTGTTTTCTTGGCTTACTGCATTATTATTCTCAATGAGAAACATAATGCAGCTGCTGGAAAAAAAGGATGGCCTTGCTGTTAATACTCAGAAACAGAAGCCAGGAGTGTTGAGTCCTGACCTCATCCCACACGTCCTGCAACACTAGGAGTAMATCAGCAAAGACCTCACTGCCGGTGTGAAACAACTCTAGGAGACATAAATTTCTGAGAGCTTAACTGAATCACTTGATAGTTGCCAAAATAAAGCAGAGAATAAAGTTCATTGTTATTACTAGACCTAAACCACAGGGGTGTYCATTTGTTGGGACAAGTTGCATGAAACCCATTCATTTCTAATTACAATAGCAAATGCCTGGCTAAAGGGCACACTATCACGTCTGCTTGAATGAATATATACATAGTGCATTAGAAGGCCAATTGCATAATGGAATTATTGTCAAGAAGAACAAGAGGGACTTGACATGTTTGACAGTCTGGCTACTCTCATTTAGGAATTTAGAAGGTCATGTAGAGACCTTCTCTTGTGTATGCAACTCCCATTAGGGCAGCACTGAGCCTGCACTAACGCAGCTGGACCCTGAATTTCACTCACGACGCAGTTAGATCTGCTGTAGATTTCTCTCTTGACTGACAGGCAGTCAAGGCTTGAGTCTACAAAAGGAGGGAAGACATCAGCGTGCTTCACCTTTCTCTCAAGACGACCAAGCTTTAGAAAAACATCTTATTTCTAGAGGGCATCTCAACTGCAAAGAGAATGTAAACCAGACATGCTGAACTACTCAAAAACACTGTTGGTTTCTTCTTTTTRTCTGTTTGTTTTTAAGACGTTCACAGCTCCTGTGATGGCGGCAAGCAAGAAGGCAGGGCAGGCCCAGGAGCACCAGCACCAAATCCCCCACACAGGGAGCAAGCAGGAGGGCAGCTCCCTGTCTCTGGGGCAGGAAAGCTGACAGTCAGCCTAGTCGTCAAACGTAAAGGAGACACATACAGGAGAGGAACAAAGCAATGCCTCCCACCCAGAAAAGCTGGAAAGGCAGAAGTTGACCCAKTACTCGTTAAAAACAAGTGTAGCACATGAAACAGAACAACACATCAGCACACATTTCTTTATACATGGTCAGGCACGCACAAGAAAATGAAAATAATTAACAAGATACGTTTGCATAAACCAAACCTATGTATATATATGCACTGTCCACCTATGACTTAAGCTGCAATGTGTGAGAGATCACAGAACTGCTCCGTAGCGTCTGAATTTCCACCAATGCAAGATTRCTGAACTTAAAGAAGCATCAAGCTTACCATCACCTTTTTATTTTTATTTTTTTCGATTGGCTTACAGCTTATTTCTGCTTTTCCTTGTGAGCAGATTCCTTCAGCTTGTTGGCCTCCTCAACAYGAACAATGTCAGTTTTGCCAAGGTTACTGACAGTGCTCAACTATCCATTATAG